GTATTTTCTCCGACGTATTGAGTAACCAGGATACTCAATAGGACCCGATGCTTTCTTCACGACAGTTAATTCACGTCAGTGCAGGGGTGATTCAATGATGGGAGACAATGGGTCGCGTGAATGAAGCTAGAACAACAAGGTGACAATCAATGTATCATACAGCTGCGCTCGGATATCTTCTACACTAGGTCAATGATTGATCGCGGAATAGATCCCCCTCAAGAGAGGGAGAGGCATTTTCATATCTAGAAGGAAAGCCCGAAGTCACCCCAGTGATGAAATAGAAGCCCTGTATAGGAACGAGAGAGATTTTTTTCTACATCTCGCCGATGTAGATACACAGATACATACCTATGAAAGGTATGTATGTACATTAGAATGAGCAGAGAGGAAATCGGAGTCTTGGATTTTCCCTGGAATATTCTAGCTGAACGCGGACCAAGATCGACGGCTGGTCTTGTCTCGGTCGACGGCATGATCGTGTAAATGCTCGCGCGGACTAGAGAAGCGAGATAATGTGCTCGACGAGGAGAGGTTTTTCTGAAGTTGTTCTCCAACTTTAGAAGGGCGTTCGTTCATTCGAAGCGTCTCGGCGGCCAATGTCCATGACCTCAGATTTTTCTGGCAAGCGCAAATCTTCCAACATTGGAATGGTGGTCCCGACTTGCATCGTAGATGTCGTCATGTAATATTCCGTAATTCGCCACGAGAGTCCGGCTCCTAATTTTCGCTGGCCTTCTGTAGTTAAAAGATTCCCCACTATCCATCGGATTTGCTCATCTAGCGGACCCGATATCCGTATCTTATTCGAAAAAGGGCCGCTCGCCCAAACATATATTCTTTTGCGGTATGAATGCAAAATCGGGGGTAATGCACATCTCCTGTAGGAGCTCGGATTCTTCCCAACCCTGCCATGAGAGCCGAAGACCCGGAGGGCTAGCTCGGAATGTCTGGACTCTAAACCATTTTCAACGGAGCTCTGTCGTATGAAACCCGGGAACAGATAGACGAAGCATGGGAGCGCAGAGGCGCGTATATCCTTCTCGAAAACCAATCAGGAGAGTTCCTAAATCTCGGACAGGTCATATCTATCCAATTCGAAAGAGCGAAGACGGAGGTGCGCATCGACGAGGGAATCGCCTCTGGCGAGTTTCCCCCGTCGTGTCGCCGTAAGGTGTGGGAAACGCAGAAATAAGGATTTTGCAATCAGATCTATCTTCATCGAAATTCGGAAATCAAATCGTCCGAAATTCAGGAGCTTCACCAATGAGATTAGGAGCATACTCATCTTGATTTGTTTCCCGATAATGTCTGCTATCCTGCTTAGAGCTCTGTGTGCCCGCTCAGAGGAAGAACCCACGGATACTTCCCCGATTCAGCTATTTCCCACAGTGGATTTGGCATGCGGATCCGATTCGATGCCGGAAGAATTTTCGGACATGATTGAGATAGTTCCGAACATGATTATGAGTAGAAGATGTTTCTAGACTTGGTCCTCAGAAGTTTCTACCTATGCAGCCGATATGGAAGAACATCCAGAACATCGGATCGGCATTGCTCGGTAGCCAGATCGCCCATCGTTCGCAAAGAAATTCGAGAATGCTACTCGAACCCATATTTCGCAAATCGATCCCGCTATGGGGACACTATGCAAGACATCGGCAAGCACCCGAGAAAAGAATTTTCTGATGGTCGTCGGCGCTGGGTACTCACGGTCGAATACTCGAGGTACAGAACGCGGACCGGAGATGGCAGAATTTTCTTGATGGTTCTGTCTATCTTTTCCCTTCCTGCTTCCCGCCTCCCGTCGCTCTACGGTGTCCAAGAGCAGAACATTCCACCTCAAGTCTATGAATGGAATGAGCTCGGTGCCTCTCTCCACGCTTTGATCTCAATGAGCCGCCTCATCATTTAGGCGAAAGATCCTACCGTTTAGGGCTTCTCTGAATCACTGTATGTGTATCATTGAGCATCGTCCCGGATGCTGCAGCAATGATCTGTTTCAATCTCCCACGGTATTCGGCCGTGCTTATCTACTAGCGGGAGGCGTGCTCACGGAGTTTGCGAGTAATACCCCGAGCGAACGGAGATCGCATTGATGTCTCCTAGTTAACGGGAACATGGGTGATGTCCACTAGAATCCTCACGATGCCACCAGCCCTCAATTTCTCGGAGTTAAACTCAGAGCTCTTATCATATATCAAGCGGTCGAGCCCCGATTTACGAATTCAATCCGTTCCAGAGGACGATTCGAAAATGGTAATCTACGTGAATCGACTCATGATTCCCCGTAGGATCGCGCAGAAAATCATTCGTGTATCGAGTCCTGCTTTCTAAGTCGAGGCGACTTCTCTAGAGATATATTATCGTGAATCGGGGTCGGACCGTACATCATGTGTGTACGATAATTGGCTTCTGATTTTCGGGGCGAGTCTTTCGTCGCTGACTGCCCTGTCCAGCTCGCTTCCCGTAGCGCTAAGTCCGCACAAAGCAGTCCGGTCAGCGTCCTCCTTGATCCGAGCGAACAAATATCACGATCACACTTATCTGGTGGCTCCACCCGTTGAATCCAGCGGGACGGTCAGTGCAGACGGCTCTCACCGGAAGAACGTCGATTTATAACGAGGATTTTTGTCGACTATTTATAGAGAGCCCGAGCCACTGACTGCGGCGTCACGCAAACCGAGAAAGTGATTTATCAATGAATCCAGTGATCGCAAGCAGTCGCTTTCTAAACCTTCATGATAAGACGAAGTCGAGGAATACGTCTGTCGGTACGACATTAATCGGCGCTATCGAGTCGTCGACCAGTCAATGATAACATCAGAGTCGTATAGAAAATTCTAGAGCGGATAATTGGAACGATGAATGGACCACCGACGAGATCTGGTCGCTCACCGATCATCTCCGCGATGAGCCGTCTCAAGGTCCTGAACACTTGACTGCGAGACTAAGCATCGATAATCACCCCTTTCGATTGCTGCATTGTCTTGTACTGTGATCCTGAGGGAGGGGAGCCACGCGCGGAAACCCCTAACGATGCGGAAGATACCCTCCGGATCGATCCCCTCTGTAATTCATTCCGTTGACATCTGCAAGCGCCTCACTCTAGTTTCCACGGACGGCTCCTTCAGCTCTTCGAGCTGACTAGGACTCGTATCATTCGTGAAGAATAGAGGAACTTACACGGGACACGCCCTTCGGATTTGTTTTCGCCCACGAACATCCCAGAAGGAGCTCCATCTCGATTTGCGTCAGGATAGGGACTCTCCGAGCGTAGAGACTCACGCGAGCCATCCAATCCTAACTCCAGTGAACATTGTAAGGCCCGCTCTTCGTAGGCATTTCCGCTTGATTGAGCGAGAGGAGTTCGCGAACGATACCGCGTCTACGATACGCTCGAATCGAACGCATCGGGGAAATACGGACCTTCGAAGCACAGAATCTGTCTACTGGGGAAAGATTTCGCGCTTTTCGATGACACGGTGCTCAGGAGAACTCGCAGAAAGACGCGTCACGAATCAGAGATGGAAGATGGCGAAATGGAACCGCTTTGTTGGTTCGCTATCATTTCCATTACGTTTTTTTACGCGATTCACGGACCGCCTCCTCGTTCAGGAAAAGCCCTCATTCCGCAATGAGGCCTTCCGTTCCCCGGATCCGATAAGTGTTTGATGTTTTTCGATCAAATGTGGAGCGAATAACCGAAAAACCTCGACAGGAATCGCACGGATTCAATTGAGTGGTCAATCGGCGGGACTTTCGGGCAGGCGTGCACAAATAGTCGAAATATATATGTATAACTATGTCCGATGACGCTGGAAAGCACTGTAAAGAGCTCAATGCACGCTCTCCATTCAGCGAAAAACGGCGTCTCCACTCCACTGCAAGTATCACAAAAGCGGTAGGAATGATCCGACGCGACGTGAAGTTTTATGATGTCTACAATTCACATCGTTTCGTGCAGATAGAGCGGAAATTTCTGCGGGAGAGACAACAAGAGGACCCAGTGGCAACGGCAAACACCTGGTCCATCCGATGTGCGAGAATCTCTTAGTTTTATCAGTGATTCGTTGATGTGTGTCCCAAAGTGAGACTATCCGAATTCGAGCGAGGACCTCGTGCGACAGTTATACCCACAAGCTCATAGGAACTTGCGACCCAACGTAGTTTTGCACCCGTTCACTTTTCGGATCGGTTAGCGCACTGATCTGGAACGATTCGTTCTGAAGCAGGTTTTCATGAGAGATAATTTTCTGTCGGAACTCCGCCCGTCTTAAGTCTTGACGTTTTCGAGAAATCAGTGAAAGGTGCCGCCGAATGATATAGATAGCGCTTGTCGACCCATCTCGAACGAGCGGAGGCAGACACACAGAAGCGTGAAGCAGTCGCCGCAACGGAAGTCACAGAAGTTGATTCTGAGCAAAGTCGCGTGTCTTAAGTCCGGAGGGAGCGAAACAGCCGATTCGTGAAATCCACCCCGAGGCCGGAAAGGATTCATGAAACACAGGGGAAGATTGTTACAGACCTCGCTTGCGAGTCGGAACTTCTTGACTCAATTCTGGAGCACTTTGATTCCGCCAAGAATCGGCGTCGGAAATTTGCGAAGTCGTTGCTTCAGTGTTTCCGACTTCATTTATCAGACAAGGAAGTGCCACCGAGACGAGCCTGTTCGTTACTGTAATGTAGAGGGACCTGGCGTTCGGCCCCGTGAACAAACTCAAAGCTACACTTCACATTGAATGGAGCTTCCGATTCATCAGTCTTGGCTGAGAATTGATTTGTCCCACAGAAGAAAACTCCGACCACTGAAGGGCTTTCACCCAGCGGCGACTAACGTTGGCTTCACCCGCATTTTATGATGGGAAACCGCTTTGGAGGCAGACGATGAGCATAAGTACACCAAGTTCCGACCGTCGTGTCGGGAACTCGGGAATTCGGAGCCGTCGCACATTGATCGGCTTGACGTAAGTTTGATTTCAGCCTGAATATCGGGAACAATGGCGGAGCTCAACAAGATGGACATGACCCAAGATCTCAAAAAACCAGGAGCTTTGGGAATCGTGTGGACGACTCGCAGGAAGATCATTCTTTCTGTTTTGATCATCGGCACCATGCTCGAGAGCTCATGCTACGCATTGATGGCACCCTTTTTCCCCGATGAAGTGAGTGCTTGCCGCGATATCCCGGAAACTCGGAGCTTCCCCGGAATCCCGGAAACTTCCCTTGGGAGCGATAGCAAGCGAATGAGTATGAGTGCCCCAGGAATCCCTCATCGAGTTCGTTTTTCTCAGGCAAAGAGCAAAGGCAACTCGGCAACTCAGTTTGGCATCGTTTTCGGAACGTATCCCTTGGTTGGATTCGTTTTCAGCCCGATTTGCGGCAAGCTGGTGAGTGACTTGAGACGCCGAATGTGCCACCATGGTGGAGCACTTTCGATGTTTCCGCATCCATATAATGATGATTATTGAATTGGAGTCATGCATTTTCGCAGCTCTCGACGCGCATCAAGCCGAAGACTATGCTGATCTGTGGCATGCTCGTAGACGGTTTCTTTCTCTGCTTGATGGGGTAAGAACGAGTTCGGCTTCCAATCGCAAGATACGTGCACAGACTAATTATCTATTGATCCCGCGCTATGGCTTCCGTCAGGCAGGCAGCAAGCACGTCCGCCTGATCACTTCGGATATGGCGGGCGATTCATCCCGTCGGCATCGAATCTTCCTTGACAGGGTGGTGTGAGGTCTCGTAATTCAATACCGAATCGTTTGCGGGCAGCACTGCAGCCGCGGATCGAGATGAAATATGTATAAGAATGACTCATGGGGCTATCTCTCGTCGCTGTTTGGATAGTGCGCCTCTCCCCCAGGAATAACTGCCGCCGTTTCTACATCCGAGCTCAAGAACGAGGGATAGGATTCAGGGCTCAGTTCCTTAGATGCCTCAGTTTTTCCTATTCAGAGGGAGTACGAAGAACGAGTCTGCAGGGGGAAATCCGTTCCATCGGTCTCGCGGATTCGCTTGTGCAGCTTTCATTGAGCAGCAGCGGCGGCGGCGATGGGGAAGCGATATTCCCGAACGTTCGGCCGATTTGCAGTCGCTGTGAGTGCAGATGCAATGTTCGCCCCCTAAATACACGGGGGATAGTGCGCGGCGCCGTCGAGTTTTTGGCTCTTCATGGCGACGATTTCGGTTGTGGGGTCCTCGCACGAACCCGTTTTTTTCCAGGTTGGGGGCGGGAGGAACCTCGCCAAATATGGTAAGGTCTGCTATCGAGCTGTCACTAAATCGTCACTGTGATATCATCTCGCGAGTGAACTCTGAGAGCGAGTTCGAAACCCAGACTGACTTGTATGAACCGAATATGTATCCTGTCGATCTCGATGTCTTCACTCGCCAGCTTGAGGGCTGTCGCTCGTTCTCGAACCTGAGCTCTGTCGCGATAAGTGGATCCCTACCGCAGGACTCTCAAGCATGTGAACGACTCGAAACTCTTCTTCGCTCTCGGGGTGCTCATCCGGTTCTTCGAAGCAATCGGCTTCTCGGCATCCATCACTTGCTACTACGCAATCGCCTCGTCCGAGTTCTCTGAGCGCGTTCACTTTTTCGTGGTAAGTATGAGCGGTAGGAGGCATACACGTATGAGCGAATCTTCGCGCAGCTTGTTGACTCAGGAATCGGTCGCTCTGCAATTAAATGATCGAAATTTCTGTACTGAAGAAGGTCGTCGATCATCCGCCTAGGCTTTGCTTCTCTCTCGCGATTACATGTATGAGGGAAGTTCCTTTGAGCGGAGCAATATCTAAGCACGATTTCCGCAAAAAAAAAAATCGAACGCTGCCATATCTTCCATACTGATACCGAGCGCATTCTGAGCCCATCTGTTGGCTGGTGCCCGTCTCACGGTTCGATCTGTTCCAATTCTCCCGGTGTACCTTAAAGGGATCATAATCTTCTCCTCAGCCCTTGATCGAGACAATATTCGGAGTTGGCATCATGGTCGGTCCGACTCTCGGTGGAGCTCTGTACGACGTAAGTTGGGTTCCCTGCAGCATCTAGCCCAGAGCTTGCCTCCTGCGAGCGAGGCCCCGATCTGAGTCTGGTTCCGATGATTCCCAAGAGTTCCAGGATCGGTCTTTCGACTACTTTCTGATAGCGATGATATTTTGCAGTTAGGTGGATACACGGTTCCCTTCCTGACGTTCGGCATTGCGACGATAGTTTTCGCAGCATTCACATTCGTTTTTCTGCCACAATTGAGTAAGTTCCATCCTCAGATAGGGGCTCCAACTCCCAAATCGCCGAATCGTCCCACGCTCAATTTGCCTCCGTAATTAACTCTGGAACGATCCCAATCTAGAGTCGCAAGACGAAGCACCCGGGAAGGGTCTCAAAGATCTCTACGTGACCCAGGTGGGAATCTGGATGTCGTCGACACGATGGTCACAGGCATCCATTGGGTGGAATCATTTCATGAACATTAAACATTTCTGCTCTGCCTACTCGACGGAACGCATCTGCTTTTCGAGACCTCGCGCTGGTCGGGGACGCTTGCTTAATTGCTATTAGCATATACAAATAGCAATCAATTGTCCACAACGGTATCTAGTAGCTGTTTCCCGCAGATAATACTCGATTACTTCATGGTGGTCGTGTGCTTCATAATAATCGGCTTCAACGAAGCTACGTTGTCCATCCACTTGAAGCAGTTCGGCTTGTCAGAGTCTGCGAAGGGGGCCTGCTTCATCATTCCTGGTGGAATATACGCCATATCAAGCATTTCGTGGGGCGCCTTCTGCAGAAGAGTGGTGGGTCTTTCGTCCCGTATAGACTCCGATGGCTTTATCGATGTTCCTTTAGCTAACCCCAGGGTATTTTGATCTCCATTACCAGGCCGATTCGAGATACTTTGTGCTCCTCGGTGGCTCGGTGGCGTTGGTAGCGCTACTGATTTGCGGTCCCGTGCCCTGGCTCAACTTCAAAATGTACGATTCAAGGTCTTGTCCCCAGCAGAAGGGACCTCCTAACTCCTTCAGTCTATCGGTTCATGAGCGTACATTGTGCCTAAGAAACACAGACGAACTTATTAGATAGCTCATACTATTTCTCTCTCATCAGACAACTGTGGATCATTTTACTCTCTCAAGGACTGATGGGTTTCGGTGACGGAGCCATGTACGTGTGCAGCTTCATGCATTCCCTGGCATTCTTAACGTGAGTAGAGCCTTTTCCACGAGAACATGTCGAAGCGTCGATGACTTATCACTGATCGTCTGCCGGTGTGAAGCACGTATCTCTGTATGCTTTCTGTATGTATGCTCTATGATGTAGATATTATAAGAGTATTTTCCTAAATCACAGGCAACGTAAAGGATTCGAGGACGACTTCAGCACCTACGCCTTACTCGCGGGCATCTTCTCATCGGCTTTTTCGCTCGGGTATGTTCTCGCTTCGACGTCATTCGCAATCGATATGAACGAGAATGAATCCTAACGAGCGGTCGTTTGGAAACCGCGAAATCGATTACGCACTCATTTCTCGATTGCCGATTTCCTCCCCGCAGTGGATTCCTCGGTCCGATAATCGGTGGCGTGCTGCTCGATCTCGAAGGCTACGAATATTCCACTGGATGGATCGCCTGCATTCTTTCTGTCGGAGTACGTCGTCGGGTCGTCAATGACACATTATCTTTGCTCTTTTTTTGTGTTCGCCTTCCCTTCGATTCATGCCCCCCTCATTCTCTTGTCCGCCGTGCTCACATTATGATCGTCCGTTTAGCTCTTCTTCGTGGTACTCAGTGTGGCTCGAGATCATGTTTCTGGCATCGACCTAAGGGATGAACAGTTCAAAACGGTTAGTATCAACAACAGTGGCCGAAGGAGACGCGTTTCTGAGACAGCAGTTATCCAGCGGCCCCGTCGACTCGAATTTTCTTTCTCGCTCCAGCGCGCCGAGGCTTCACTGGATGCAAAGCCTGATGTCGAACGAGGATCCCGGGACGACCAGGACAACGGGCAGACTCCCCAACCTCTGGCATTGAGGGACGTCGGGCACGACAATCCAGCAATGGAGATGACTCACCTCTAGAGTTCTTAGCCCTCGACTGTGCTCGTGTCAAATAGGGAGCAGTTCTGGATTCTCAGATGATCGAGATGATTCCCGTGGTTGATGATCGCACATTTTTGTGTATTGACATTCTCGTGAGCCATCACTGCTCTCCTTCGGGGAAAGGGGGCTGACGTCGCGAGTACGAGCCGGAACTCAAGGATCCGTCGCGGAACTTGAGAGAAGCGCTCGTAGCGAAGGTGCCATCAAGTCGGAGCAACGGCATTAATTTCGATACCTCAAGACGCCTCCGGTGCCGCGAATGGGGAAATCCTCCTACATATGGCTCCTGTGAAGGCTGCGCTGTAGCGACATTTATCCTTCACTGCCAGTCTGTCTACCCGTTTTCGTTTACTTTGTTTGAGTCGCTCTCACTCGACTGAGTGACCGATCATTAAGATAGAGTATGCAAAGACTGAAAGTGTCATAAAGAAGTGCTAAAATCATACAGGGCTGCAGAGGCAGCTCCTCATTTGTACAGCCAGAGGTCCTCCGTAAGGATTTCGATCACTGAACGCAAGCTCAAATGCCATGTCGAAGACCCCTTCGATAGCCATGCAAGTCACCGGTCACTCCATCTGGCCGAAGCCAAAATCATACACGGATTCGTCTGTCGCAATGAGCTTCCAATCAGGTCGGGCCTATTCGAATAAAGATCGACGAATGAAAATTAGTAGAAGCATCAAACTGGATTATACCAAAGCTTAAGCCAAGCTCAATCAGTTCACATTGCCTCAGGTTAGGAATTCGATAAGGAGAGGGCGATTCGGATGTAAGCAAGGCCGGATGATAGGCATCCCGAGAGCTCTTCGGCTCGAAATTTCGTTTCCCTGCCTGACAGTGGCAAGCGCCAGCGCTTTGATCCGCCGGGCCTATAAGTACTATAATTCGTAAGCATATACTTTGTCGACGGTCGCGGCGAGCGACTCTCCCGCGACGCGACCGTATGATATAGGTGTTTTCCTTCTGTTCCGTTCTCTCCGCAGGATTGGGCCAGGAACTGGCCGTAGATATTCTTTGTTTTCGGGGCTGGCATTCGAAATCGAGCGAATGTATGATCGGGCATGGGAGCCGGCCGTATCCGCTCTCTTCCGAAGCCTCCTCGTGGAGCGCAGGGCGAGGGCCGATTTTAGCGCTTGAGCCTAGGAAGGATTCGAGCGCGAGCGCGATCCAAGAGCGATTATTCCAAGCCCATTGATCGGTCTCTGGTGATCAGAAACACCCCACGAATTTCTGGTCGCCTCCGGATGGCTCGTCAATCTATGTGCCTCGTACCTGTGTTGGCCGATCGGCCCTTGATTCTACATTGACCAACAAGGTATCGGTCGCTCACGCTGCACGCTCCTAGACTCAGTCAGTTATGATTTCTGGTGATCGGCCTCGAGGGCTTTTCCAGGTCTTCCAACGTTTCGCGATCTCCCTCGGGATCCGCGCTCACAAGTGCTCCTAAGCTGCGTGGGAAAAATGCTACATATTTTCATGTGCCTATGTGTGTGGATGAACATTGAACATATGTGCATGATCAGCGGATCCAGTTGCAGGCGTGAAAGTCCACAAAGAGCCCTCGTAACTGCAGCAAGAGCACGTATGTTTTCGTACTGGGAGTCATCAGAGGAAACCTCGAGCGGAAGCAGGAGATGCCTCGAATCTATTTTCAAACGTCGGTCGCATACATTGGCCTGCTGGAAGGTAGTAAGTGCTTGTCTCCCGCGATGCCACGTGCCGTTCCGTCAGAAATGCTCCGAGATAGTCGAGCTCCGTGCTCCTTTGCGATCTTAAATTTTGATCTCGGATACGATCTCGAGGTTGCGATTGCCGTGCTCTGGAGGACTTCGCCCGAAATACCCGCCTAGCTCTAGCAAAAGAATTTATCCAGGATCCAGGGGTGTAAATTCAATGACTCACATCATCAGGAGCAGAATGACGACATCGGACTCATTTGAAAACGAATCGCTCTTCTGAATAACATCAACCGCTGTAGACCTATACTCATCCGCTCTCGTCGCGAGGGTAAGCATTTCTTTTCTTCGTCCAGTGGGGGTGTGACTCCCATCTCCTCTCCGAAAGAATTTCGTCCGTTTGACCTGTTCCTTGAAGAGATCACTGGGTATACGTGGGATGTGGGTGTGTATCATCCGTGGGTAGAAGGATGGAATTGAGAGGATAGAAAGAAGGGAAGATGTCGTCATGTTGCAACGAATATCATACACCTGCCAGGACAACTCATCGGTCAGCGTTTTCGGTGACGTTGGTCCAGAAGAGCGAAATTTTATTTTTCAAAAACTTTCCCTGAAAGTTTTTTCCGTCTATGATTTTCGCGATAGGGTAGCACGGCGGACACACTGTTGTATCTAGTACTTTCTGTTGACGTTGCTGTTCGTGGTTTTTGAAGTCTGATCTCGCTGAATTGATTGAACATCGGTTCTTCACTGAAGTTGTCGATATTCAACTTTCTTCCGGAGATGGATGGTGTGATGTGTGTGGTAATTGGTAATGATTTTTCTGGACAGTGGTTGTTCCGGTGGTATTGATTGATTTGATTCTAGCGACTTCCAGAGTCTCCATTAGCTGTGAATGAGACCAATTTTCGAGTAGGTGAATTAATTCGAACTTTCGGAGATAAACCCATAAGGTGACTTCTCGTTGGTCGTATTCGATCACGACCATCATCCAATGTGTATATGTAGTCCGGTGCTCGCATATACCTCCCTTTACTGGGATTTCGAGGGAGCGATCATGATCTAGCTGAGAGAAATTCCTCAGAGCTTCGTCGGATGGATCGCGCGGTTCTCAAGTTGGAAGACGAAGACGGCACATGCGCCGCGTCGTGCAGCCATCTCCAGGCCCACGAATGAATACAGCGAACCGAGATCCGCATTTGGAGGCACGACGGTCGCGAGAGTGCGGGAGTGTAAGGGATGGGGGAGCCGATCTTCGACGCGGGGTCGACGGTGGTGGCTGAGCCCGAAAATGTCGAGAATTCGGAGCTCGATCGCGTCACAGCTACACGACCATCAGCCGCCGCTCTACTTTCACGAGAACTCGCCGTGCCTCAAGGGCCTTCTCATGGGTGGGACGAGCTGTTCTCCACCGATGGAGAGAATTTTCAGAGAAAAGGTCAATCAAATTTTTGTTTTTCACTGTCAGAGGGAAGGAAAAATGACTTCACAGTTTCCCGGTTGAACGAGACTTGCTCCTTCAGGTGGATTTATTTTTGTTCTAGTCATCGATGGTGGTGTCAACTTGAAATCTCAGCGATTTCGATCGAATCAGTTGACGAAAGGTCAGATGACGGAGCCTTTTTAAGGAGAGGATATGCGAGCACTGCATCTTTATGTTCATCATCATCCTTTCTTTCGAAGCATGATCGCTTTCTCTACATAGATTGACATTGGTAGGGGTGGCAACAAGACAAGCGCATCGCTACTTGGAGTTTGAAGGAGTTGATGTCGAGGATTTTTCGATGGAGCGAAAATTTTTCGCTCGTTGTCAGAGCTCGGGTTCGAGTTAAGGTAGTCAAGTCGATGTTGTTTCTCGGTTGATTTTCTAAAGTTTCCGGTCCGGTATTGTGGGGACATTGTTGTCAATGTTGATGATGCTGTTGCTGCTGCGTTTTCAGCTGTTGCGGCGGCTGCAAGTGCGGCTGCGTTGAACGAGGATGCGCTTGTCTTAGATGGTGAGGACACCCGGACACGCAGCGTCCGACCTGACCCACCTCCCATCGCGAAATGCTTTTTCAGAGCAGAATCGCGTGTTGGCTGTGAACCGCAGCGGCTGCCTCGAGCTTTTGTCGTTCGTCTCTTATCCCAGCTGTTCTGGATGTTTGTCGGTGTTCAGAAGTTCAAGAGTTTCCAGAGAGCTTTGCGAGGGGAAGTGGGACTAGACGTCGGGCATCCGGGTGTTTGAAAGGGCGCGCGACTCGGCCTGTTGACGACGGGTGCTTATGCTTTTATGCTCATGCTGCTGTTCTGTCGTTTGTTTCTAAATCGGAGATAATCTCCGATAGCTGAGTAGTAAAGTACATAAATCATGTTGTTGTTGTTGTCGATGTTGTTCTTCTTGTTTCTGATGTTTTTGACTGTTGTTTTCTTTTGTTGCTGCTGTCACGGAAGTTGATGTTGTTGTTGGTTGCAGTTGGATAGCGGGCGACATCGACCCGTCGAGGACAATGGACGAGGAGGCAGATGAGAAGAAAAAGGAGGCTTCATCCATTCTTGCTTGTCGTGAGGGGTACTTTGGGGAGAGCTGAAGGCGTACTTAGCAAGGAAACCTCCTTTGCGTTAGACTTTCCTCTCTTCCGAATTTCCGAGACGCCAATTCGCCGATCGCGTGGAGAACTTCTCCAGCGATTTGCTTTGCGATTCCGCAGTGAGCTGTTGTTTCGATGATTCGCTATTCGGTTGTTTTCACGATCACGATAATCACAATTACGAGCGACATCTGTCGGCTCACAGACTGAAATCGAGTCGTGGCGGTCGATGAGCAATCTGTTAGATTTTGATTGGGTTCCATCCTCGTGGGAACACTTTTGTCCTCGGCGGGCTTTCTGTTGTGATTATTACGTTCTGGTTAGCGTTTGACGGGCTGCTGAGAGCTACACACACTTTGCTGTTGCTTTGCTTGTTTATATGTATGTATGGTTTTTTGCTTGTTTGTATGGTTTTGCCTTTCGATAGAGAGATAGAAAATATTTTTCGTCCCTTCTGTCTGAGTATGTGCCTGCCGCCGTGATCTTTGATAGATAGATCGAATATCCTGGGGCTGACTACCGCGGACATAGCGGGCTCACTGACGAGAGGGCTTAGTTGTCTCCACCGTCGCCGTTGTGGTGATCACGGGGACCCCCACGGCCTCTCGGAAGACCACGGCCGCCGCGTCCTCCGGGTCGGCCACCGCCGCCGAAGCCGCCGCCGCCGGAGCGGGGTCCACCACCACCCCCACCTCCTCTGCGGGGACCGCCGCCTCCACCTCTTCCTGTACCACGGCGTGGGGCACGATCTCCGTCATCACGGTGGTCGCGGTCGCTTCCTGCAATAAGTCAGTGAGAGGAGTTCTCTTCTTAATCGAGCAGACGTTCACGAAAACGTCACTGATTCGTCTGAAAGAAAGATTCCGGTCACTTACCGTCGTATTCGCCATCGGTGTCGGAGCGAGGCGGTCTCCTCGCGGGGGGCCTGCGTGGGCCATTCCCTCCCCGGCCTCCACCGCCGTAACCGCCACCTCCTCCACCGTAACCTCCTCCACCTCCTCCTCCTCCGCGGCGAGGTCCTCCGCGACCTTGGTCTCTGCGAGGTGCTTCTCCATCCACGTCATCGTCTTCGCGTCTTCTGCGGGGAACGGGTCTTGGCGGGCCAGAGCGGAAAGCACCCCGGCCTCCGGATCCGCCACGGCCACCGCGGCTACCGGAACGCCTAGCGGGCGGGGGCCTTTCACCAGCATCTTCATCTTCATATCCGTCTTCTTTGACATCGCCCTTGCTTCTGCGATCTCTGGGAGGCCCCCGACGCCGCTGAGAGTATCTTCCGCCCTGACCACTGCGGAATCCACCGCCACCTCCTCCGCTCCGTCGATTGGCTGCGTAAGGACTGCCCTGAACAGGGGCGCCCTCAGGGCCAGTCACGTTCGAGGCTTCATTGCCCTACGGAAATAATATGATGGAATAGAAAGAGCGATGCGGAAAATCTTTTCGGGGACGTCATACCATGGATGGAGGAATTCTGTCGACGGGAATGCTCGAGGAATCTTACTTTTTCACCAACGACCACATCAAATTCAACCTCCTCACCCTCGCCGACGGATCTGACGGCTTTTTGGGGGTTGTTCTTCATGATGGCTGTCTGGTGGACGAAAATATCTTCCTTCGTATCATTACGATTGATGAAACCGTAGCCATTCTTCACGTTGAACCACTTGACAGTTCCACGCACGCGTTCAGCTAGAGAAGGAGAAATTGAGTCGAGTTCAGATTTACGCGTGGTTATAGTTGAGAGATCGTCAAGCGGTCTCGTCACGGCCTCTGTTTCGGGACCGGGCTCCCGCATCCAGTAATCTCTCTCGGAAAGCAGGAGAACTTATGTAAAGACCTCAATCCTAGACTTCGGCCTTGTTGTGTTCCGATGGTTCGTCTCATTCCGATGTCTATCCAGAATCGCTTCCGACAGCCAAGTGGTTCGCAGGCTGTCCTTTCGTCCAGCAAGGACGGTAACGAGGGACACCGCGGGCGATGACAGAAAACTTCAGCTAGCGCACTGTTTGCGGCGCTTAACTAGCGTTTGGACAGGCCACCGAATGATTGCAAAATTGAACGACGCCGAAGAGCTCTTGCGGCGGGATGAATTTACATTTTTCCACCAAATCAGAGTCGGAGACGGTATAGGGTTTGCTGCGATGTTCGGAATGACTACGCTGCTCATCTGACCCCCGCAGCCTCCCGTTCCCCTAAATCTATTCAACGGGAGGGGGAGATCCCGCTCCCTGGATTCCTCAGCGCGATGCCGCAAAGATCGCTAGCAAAACGAGCGCTCTTCACATAAGAGATGAGAGAAAAGCTTCCTCCAAGCCGCGCGCTGCTAAGAATAGCTCTCTTGCTTCATCGTCTTCTATTTCTTCGCCGGCTGTTTGCTTGCCTGGCTCTCTGTCCGTCGGTCTGCCTGTTTTGTCTGTCTCTGACTGTCAGCCAGCCACCGAGTCGCTGAGCCGGCCGGCAGGTAGGCCGGTAGCCAGCCAAATGAGTAGGGAGTCAGCAAGCCAAACTACGGGTCTTCCGTTTTTTCTTCCCGATGCTCGCGGTCTGACTGTTGTTGATCAAAGTATGTAGTTCTGATAGTTGCTTGCGGCATATGAGGGCGGAAGCCGACGGATGCATCAAAGGCGGGGGTTGTTCTCAGCGAGTTCGACCGCTCTCATTGGAACCCAAGCGGCTCGGAGCGTGTATAGATATAGCGAATGCAGCGTCAGAACTTCAGCAGGAATCGTCGATCACACGGAATCATTTTCCGAACCCCAGTTCCGGGAGCGACCTCTCGCTCAAAACTGCCGAACAAGACTTCCATCCGAGGACAGATTCTTCTAATAAGTAAGATCGGCGAGCAACCCGTGAGCAAAAAAGGTCCGTTCCGACAGAGCGTCTTCTCTTCTCCTCCATGTAGCATCCGCTACCATTTTCGGAATCAGGGATAGCCCAGATGGAGCCGCTTCCCGGACACAAGAATTGGGAAGGCATCGATCGCCCGGGAACACGATCAGGATAGCAAAGGCCATGCAAGACTTTTGCCGCGTTGATAGGAACACCGCGAGCTGCGGATCGAACGCAAAAATCCACAGCCAGAGTCGCGAATGATCTACCGAGTGAATCAAACGCGGCGCTCATGATCTTTTCCACCTGTATCTATTGGTTGATCCCTTAAGTCGGAAGTGATTAAGCTTCTACTTTTCACTGACAACAAGATAGGCGAATGGGCTAAGCGTTGCTCACAGTCGCCTAGTCGGCCATTGCGAGTGGAGTGTGGTGGCTACTGGCGCCGCCACAGCCGCTCATGCAGTGAAGATTCTATCCGATGGGAAATCGTCGAATTTCGACTCTAAAGCTCAGCTTACCAATGATCTTTTTCGGCTGTTGCTCGGGCGCGGCTTCTTTGTTCTCTATGTCGCCCTGTTGCTCTGCTTGCACCGCTGAATCCGTCATTTTGGCCAAGTTTTGCGTCGCACGACCGGGCCTCCCTCGTAGCTCTCCAGGTGGTGCCGGTCGGAGCGAAAGCAACGCCCAGCCTGCGCCGATTGATGCTCTCACGAGGCTTAGCTCGACGAGAGGGAAAACCTCTCTCAGGGGATGATTTTATATCAACTTCTCTTTGAATATTCCAGGTGAGCTGATTCCTTGGAGGGTCCCGTTTATTCGGGCTTTGTAGAAGATCTACGGGGGCTTCCAGAGCGGAGATATGGTCATTAGGCTTACCGACTACAGGATCGAGAATGGCGGGCCGATTCAAACTGCAAGAACACAGAAGCCGGGTAATAGCTTCCACAGGCTCTCCGGCGCTCCTGGGAATGCCGCGGTCATCTTCGCCGAGGAAAGCGAATCCATTCTCGAGATTCACCTGATCGAAAGGCTGCAGCGTGAGCCGATTTTTGCTTGGAATGGTGGAGATGCGCTCCGATGTCGGAGACTTTCTCTACATCTCTCCTTCAACATTCAGCTCTACTGGCAATGATCAGGGAAATGGACAGCTGATTTCTTCGGTCGGCTCTCCCGGAACACAGGATGCGGCGAATTCTCCGTACTTTCCGATTTGCGGTCCCCCTCCGCGAATGAGTAGGGAGACCCGTCCGAGCTTTGGCATTCCGGTATCTCGCTTTGATTTCTCGCGTCCTTGTTTCTCGAGAGCCGGAACTCCGGAACACGGTAAAGCTCCAACCCCGCTCGCCAGAGGATCCCATGTTGATTGAGTCGCTGGATCGGTAACGAATCAATTCTTTCGAAGAACACTCATCATTCATTTCATCGACTCTTATTTGCTACTAATATATAGACTATATTTTCGAATTCTTATTTGCTTCGTGACGGAATGACGATCCTCAATGCGCGGTCGGAGCAGACCGACCTCAAACGAAAGTTCGTCGCGGATGAGCGAGCAGGGCATCGACTGCGAAGTGGAAACCCTCACAGACAAAGAGTTGCACCAAGGAATTTCAGAGCCTGCTATGACGACTGTATCTCCCAAAAGAAGCGGACTGAGTTTGCGCTAGCCGGATCTCGCGATACCGGAATATAATCACCGGAGCCTTCGTGAGATGTCGGAGCTGATAGCGATGCGAAACTTGAGTTTATAATCTTATCGTTTCCGGTCTACGACCTACTCGTGACATTTGTGGAGGGAGCGAGGGATGTGGGGGTGAGGAGGGCTCGGCAAGAAAACATTGCGCGAAAAGTCCAGGTCGATCCTCTGAGCTCGTGGCCTTCGTCGCTGAGAGACTGCAATCGCGAATGTACGCGAGCAGCCGGTAGATCGCCGAAGGATTCCAACGAATGTGATCGTAAGTCGTGGGAATTTGGCCTCATGCACGAGAAAATGTAGTGGGGTGAAACTATGAGCTTTGGACAATCAATGATGAAAATCGACGCCGCGACTTGAAAGCATGTTCGAACGAGGTTAAAGGACCGCATAGAGAAGTTTTCAGATCAGATTTATTCTTGAGATGGTCGTCTGTCCTAGAATTAAGGGCTCGAAGATCAGGCGGAAGCGCTCTAGCGCGCCTCGGATTACGGTGCAGCGCCCGTCCGAGAGCCGTCTGCCTCTGACCGGGACTGCATTGATGAAATTCGGAAAGGTCTGCTCTTCCCACCGATATCGGTCGGGAGCGGATCAAGATGCGGACTAGCGGCGGGAATGAGTGGTTTCGTTGAGCACTTGGAGAAGACACAAGTCCTTTGCGCAGAGATGAGACCTAGAATACCATGATGACTGCATCACTGGGTGAGTCACCTCTGTTGGATTTAGATCTTCACCGGTGAAGATCAGATAAGAGTAATCATATTCTCCTATCCGATGGGCCCGCTCATCTCTCATCGAATCTCTGAAACTGCTCATTGTTCAAAGGCCTCTGGCAGGGATGCTCCTCCCTCGTATCGGAAAAGTATACATATGACAACGAGACAAGACTCATAAGTGGGAGAGCGGACGATCATGGAGCAAGCGCACGAATAGCAGGCGAATAAGCATTCACACCCGTCAGGACAGATCGAAGCATTTGCGATCGCAGCCGATTTCTAGTACACATTCACAAGTTCCGTCGGCCTGCGTGGAATTCGCCGGAACTCCGGAGTTATCCTCATTAAATTTCTAAGCTACCGTTGCTCGAGCACAGACGCCTCAAGGTGTATCCCCCTCGATTCTCCTCGACTAATCAACCTAAGGGCCTATTCCTAAATACATGTCACTGGAACTTTTTCACAGGAATCATTCGTACTCTCTCCTACGCCGCGGCGAAATATTGTGCAAGAGACAGATTGTCGACTGCTAATCACGAGTTGTGGAAATGTGCCATCAGTCCTTTGGCGTGGTGGACGAGACGGAGTTTCACATCCTGCAGCGAGAGCTGCCCCGAACCCGGATGGCCGCCTTCAATCGGCCCGCCGGGTTTCGATTCTTCTTCGACACATGAATGAAGCCATCGAACGACCTGGGAATCGAAATCTCTCGTCAATCGATGCCGTTCGATCGTTTCGTAGCGGGCAACCGACCTTTTCATCCAAAACAATCATGGCACCTGCCTCATCACTTTTCTGGACTTCGTGGACGAACGCCGTTCCGTATGCAGATGAAAGTTTTTCGCTGAGGGAGCCGGAATTACTATTCTCTTGTATAACTAATCTGTAAATTAGAATTTAGGTCGGACACGTTCAAGTAAATCGTGGTGTGCGCCCCCATATGAGAATAGAATCGGTATCAAGCAAAATTTTACCTCAATCCGCAGAAATATGAGTTTAATTGCGATCGGAGCCATTCTTCGCTTCCCTCCCACTGGCACCGTGATTGCCGGCATGTCCTCTGTAACCAGTCCGCGAACCTAGATTGTATGAAATCGCGGCATGTGAGCATCTTTCATATTGAAGATCCTTCCCTAGGACAAGCCTGGTTACTACCCACTATTCTCACGACTCCTGCAATCCTCTCGACGAGACAGGCGATTCCGCATGGTGACCATCGTCGTTAGGTAGATGACAGGAGCCTTGGGGCTGCCCTCACCTCAGATCCGCTTGGGTCGGACTGACGATTTTCTCCAGAGCCTTGTCAGCGAAACTGAGGCTCCCACCCTCCACCAGCACGTCGAACTGCTCTCTCCACTTCTGCTTGTATAGTCTATTGGAAGCCCCGACGAAACTCTGCGCCCTCGTGACGATTGGATCTTCCATCATCGACAGAGTTATGTAGGGGAAGCACATATCGCCGAATGGCGTGGCCGCTTCGAGAGCCAGAATCTTGAGGGAACCGATAGCTTAGACTTGATGATCAACCATCTCGCGGGAGTTCCCCAGAATATTTCTGTGCATAGGCCTGGAATCTATACCTCGGAACACATCTCGTTTGTCGGTTGGTCGGAAGTGAGGAACAGTACTTTCCGCTGCAGCAGCCTCAACTTAAGTAGAGTCAGTAATTGCACATCGTATTTCAACAGGACGGTGCGCATCTCCAGAAGCAGATCATTCACGGTTCCCACGACCTGTTCGGGGTGGGAAAGGACGGAGACTCCCATGAACAAGGGTCTTGAGGGGATTCATGATCTCACTAACAACGGATATCGAGTCCCGTCATGATCCTACCTGACAGAGACCCTCGTAAACCCCCTCGAGAATGGCGGTGTCCTGATGTTGAATGTAAGCGTGAGCGATGGGCTCAAGTTTGGCTGCGATTGTACGCCAGGCCGGGTTGAAGTTCCGACCGCTCTGGCCGACCACGCATATCGATTTTTGGATCGCACTCCGCGTCACTTCAGGATCCATCTCTACAACGACACAGAAAACGGGTATAGTACAAGGAATGTTTCTTTCTCGTTCGCAATGGGGGCAATGGAGAATTCACTTCGAATAATATTCCACCTTTGTATGAAGCTGAATCCACCTGCTTGTAGGAACACACCCCCCACATGGCACATTCTTCTGCGTTCCCGAATCGGAAATACACCGTATCCGAAGCAAAGTTGTGGGCTCCATCTGGCAGGCCGATGGGTGCCAAATAAGATGTCATCCATAATTTGTCGGCTTCCCGTATGGGGGGATGGCAGAACTCGATCTGAAAAGCATTCATCTTCGATTTTTCATCATGTTTGGGACGCTGCGCCGTTCTAATCCCCAACGGAGCCGGAGCGGATGTGCAAAGAGAAAAAGACTTCAGAGTTCAGGGTTTGGAAGATCTGAGCCGGCAGCTCCGACGAGCAGCTCCGATTCTGCCGCAGATCTGAAGCCAGAGGGATTTCAGGACCCTCGTGATAGGTGGATCTCTCGATTCCGATTGATCATCTCTGGTACAAACACAGTGTCACATGAGATTCCGCCGTCGACATCTATCTAATGAGGCTCGTCGGAGCGTAGAACACTGTCGCCTCCGGGAAAGACCCGGCGTTCCGCGTTCAGGAGTAGCTCCACTCACACCCGTCAGAACCCGCTGAAGGAGGTATAATATTTCTCTGACCTGATATCCTTTAGAATGGTGGAACCCAACAACTGCCAAATATATCAGCTGGTTATCGTCCATCACGTCATGATATGTTGTTGTCGGCGGCTAACTTTGCTTCTCTCGCGATGGGACAGTTCAATATCCTCACTTCTCTCTCCCACCGGCTGGGCTCCTGTCTAGCAGCTCGAATGCACGGCGGGCACACACCCAGCTCATATCAAAAGCCAGAGCATAGGGCTCCTGCGGACCAGAGTACACAACTCGCGATCGCTGCATGTCCGCGGACACATATCTCGCGGGAGATCTCATTGTTTAGATCAGGGCCCTCGCCCTGCATTGTGTAGGTCGGGAGCCTGGCTTACGGCCCGCCACAGTCCGACATATCAGTCGGATGAGGGAATTTTTCGGAGCCCCAAGACGCGGGCGGCCGGATAATTTGTTTTTCAGGCGAGGAGCAACCGAATGAGATCGCCGGCGTCGAGGGATCTTCACTATGTGATCCGGGGGCGGCTTAAACGATTGCCAGAGCGGCGAGCGGAGTTTCCTAGTTTACGGCAACGAAGTAGCGGTGAGAGATCATGACAGTTCTTACAGCACCGGGTAGCCAGGAGCGAACGGAAAAACAGTAGGTTGAGAATATATATTTTACCCCATCTATGTGACGCGCGCAATTCAGATGATCGAGATCGAGAAATGCCTACGAAAAATCGCCTGAAGAATCTGTTGAGTTTCCTCCCTGTTTTTTCGTTCGATCTATTTCAGGAAGATGCATGAACGTCCCCCAGTCCACATGATAGGTGCATCTTCATCGCTCATGCGCGGCAGGTTTATCTTCGCTTCTGTCTATCTTTCCACCTCACTGATGTGACATGTGTGTCTTCCCTATTTTTCGACTGACCTTCCCCGCGCGAGAAGCTTTTGCTTGATTTTCGTACGTCTAATGAAAAGGAATACCAGAATGCCGCCTCTCTTCGGCCCGCTCCGCCTGTAGTGAAGTCGACGATTGAGAATACGTATTTCGGCACGAAGCTCGGCTCGACAGCGCGCGAGGCGCGCGCGGGGGGTTCAAGCGTACCGGCTCATTAATGACCAGCTGTCGAGCGCGGCCGAGGGCCGCACTCACCGGTGTTAAGCGCTTGCAAGCATGAGATACGGTTGCAGGGACTTTGTAACCTTGTGTACTGAACATGACGATTCTTCAAAAACCATTGAGAGATTGAGTGAAGAAAACCACGTCGGACGGGGATGTATCGAACGTCGGAGACAGTTAGGCTCATGTCACGGATCCAGTTCATATAAGACAGGGAGACCGATCAGCGCATGTCTTCTTTCCTGTGACGGTGATAATCTCTCTCGAGGCGACTCGAAGGGGAAAAAAAACGAGCAACGAAGTCGGGGGATCGAGGATCGGGGAGTCGGGGTGGAACCGTACAGTATCCGCCCGATTCTCGGATGTTCATCGTACTGATCAGGAGAGAAAATCGATGAAAAAAATCCTCTGAATTATTCCGTTCCGTTTGACATTCGCTCGTAGACGCCTCCAGAATTGGTCTTATTGTACAGTTACAGGGTGTCACTAGATTGCGCGTTAGAAAGTTTCACACTGTTGGCCATGAGTGCGTAATTTTTCCGAATTGCGGCCCGCGGCTCTCGCCGACGAGCCAGTGCGACCCGTCAGAAAATTGTGGTGAACCCCCCTTGTTTGAATCCGTCTCGGGGGTGAAGGAAACACGTCAATCGGGGCCGACGTTGATCCCGAGCCCACTCACTCAGATGGAATTGCAACGATGTTGGAGAGCCAGCGGCGAACGGCCGTCAGCGGAGAAGGGGAGCCTTCGAAAATAGGCTGATAAACATCCTGTCTCCAGGGCTCGGTTTCGAGCCGGGGATAGGTTGCCGGAGGCAGATGGATGCGCTTGCTAGGAGGGTAAAGCGGAGAGCCCAATGTATAAGATTGATTATGCGTAGCCTTTGCATGCTCAACATTCTAAAGAACGTTCTTTCGGATGACGCCGATGCGGTATGCCCTCGACTGCTTCTTCTTGTCCTAGCTGCCAGATGTTTAAGTCACTCTGGATTTTATCCGGAAGTTGTGTTAAAATGAGGCTCCGCATTATCTACGAAGATTCGTGGATCGGTCGTTTCGAATTCGCGCGCTCTAACGGCTGCTTAGGTTGATACAGTGAAGCATCATGGCCGCCCTTTTCGTTTCGTCAGCCCTGCGGCACGTGTCGTGAAAACCGACTTAAATAGCGAAAACTTGAAGTAGGGTACCATGGCGAAGTCAAAGAATCACACTTCCCATCACAACAATAGGAAGGACCACAGGAACGGGATCAAGAAGCCGAAGCGCAATCAGACTGTAAGTTGAGAATCTAAGCAGAAGAACTTCGATGATCGAGATCGAAAACGGTTGTCGCCCGGGTCTAAGGCTGGCTTCACGCTAGAGCTAGCCTGTTTTTTTGCAATGTCTTTCGCTGGGATGGAGCAGGGCTTCGTGTCTGCCATTTTATTGGAGGGTAGTTCGGCCTGTCGACGGGGTGGCCGCCTGCGGCTTCGCAAAGGATCCGTCGATCGGGTTCGGTCCCGAGCAATCGATTAGATATCTACCGTGTATTATTCGGGATCCATGTGTACACCCCCTAAGCAACGAGTAATCTCTGAAGGCTGATAGTGAGTCTTGATGGGCCTAGCCGTCAAGCTGTCTCTCTGATTATCACGTTACCAGATATCTAGATACTTGAGCCTCATCTCTGACCCAGGATGTCTGATGTCTATCATTCTAAGTTCTCATCCGAAATCGCAGGAATCGATGAAAGGATGCTGTCCGAAGTTCCTCCGTAACCTCCGTTACATCAAAGCTGGAACCCGCAAAGCATTGAAGGAGCAGAAGGCCGCCGCCATCGCCAAGAAGTGAATAAAGTCGCCTTCGGTCCGATCTTGATCAGGAGTCTTTCTTTCGAGAACGTCTACTCTTTTGAACGAGGTCCTCCTTTTTTCCTTCCATGTCTCCGTCGGTATATCTCGATCGTTCCAGCTCCTCCCCGGTTGCCAATGGAATCTCATTATACTCAGCCATCTTGGAAGCATCAATATTCCTGAGCATGAATTATTGAGGTTCGAAGCTCGCTTCGAAGGATGGGACTCTGGATTTAGTGCACGCAATTAAGAAAAGTGCCGCTGCCGGCGGATTTCGTCTTCTTCAGATCGGAGAGAATCCTATGGTTGGGTCATTTGCTGTCACCCTGATGACGTCGGGTACCGGACGGAGGAGCTCTTCTTCCCCGCTCCATAAGGGCAATTATCTTTCTCCGACGGAATATTTCGGATAACATTGATTCCGCGCGTGTGTACCGGATCATCTGTTTTTCTCAGCATCTCAAATTCAATCGATCTCGGATCGGCTCACAGTGAACCTGAGGGAAATATGCAGATAAATGAGACAAACCCCACAATCGGTCCAAAGAAAAAAATCCCCGCTGTATGTCCGCCCTCTTGGACTCAAATGGCAGAATTCCCGGTTCCATGAGGTTTTCGGGACTGCGTCGGCACGTCCTCACTTCCTCGACGCCGCGCCGTGGTGATCGAGTTCGGGATCCTCAAGAGCGGTAATTCGGGGGCCATGTCCAGGCATGAGCATCTCACACGAAATACTTCACATACGATGTAGCTTAATTCAGCGCTTCTATCCACCTTGTCAAGAATTTTCACTATGAAGTTCCGAATTGTTTATGATATAGCGGTTCTGAAAGACGGAATCGAAGTCCCGGGTCGGAGAGGATGTCAATCATCAACGCGAATCGAAGAACTTGGGGGAGTCCCGTGACATTCTTCACCGGGCCCTCGGGCTCCCGACGATAGCCAGGGAATGGATAATGGGTGGAGGAACACGTGTAGCTCTGGCAGTGTCTTTCGACTGCTCACTCCTCAGTCTCCTGAGGGCAGGAACAGCGATGAGCTTGTGCGGAGCAGGTTATATACAAGTAGCGGCAGTTCCTCTTCCATTGAGAAAGAACACGAGCTCTCTCCAGTTCAAGAACTCGCTGCATTTATTCATTTGATCATTATAATTAATAATTTTCAGTTTCAATTATTACTCCTAGTGGATTAGAGGCGGTAGCATCATTATTTACTCAAATCATTCCTCTTTTATATTCATATCTTGATCCCTGTCGTCCATGGGTTCCTCTCATTGATTCATTCACGCGAGTTCCAAGAGCATGGCGCTCGAGACGCTCCGAAAACATACCATTCCTAAATCACATTTCCGAGGGAACCGAAATATCATCTCTGATCGTTAGAGAAGGTCCCGTGCGTTGGCCAGATTCGCCGAAATCGTTCGAAGAGAAGCACTGACTTGCTCGTCGGCTAGAGGTAAAGAAGGCACGAAGTAAGCAAGGCTCGTCTTTCAAAAGAGAGAGCTTCAGGCACATTAAGCAGGACAATGATAATGCAGCGGGATGATATATATGCAGGACTCTCTGACGGGTCTTCGAGGAAAAGGTTGAAAGACAAAAGTCATCGTCATCGGTCTCCCTTGACGAACCTGCTGGGTCAGCTGTTGCGCTTTTCAGGGCAGCTCTCGTTCATGGAGCGGATTGAGGCGAATCCGTTGACACACATGAGTCAACTAGATAGTGGTATCCTTATGAGACGGAACGAATTTCCCTCTTCTTCGAGTTCTCCGTGAGCCCACCTAAGAGTCGATGGCCGGTCGAAATGAGCGAGACTCCAGATAGGGGAGCTCATTCTCTGGCGTTCCGCCTGCTCTTAGGCAAACGACGGGTCAAGACATGATTAAGATCGAGAGCAATGAGGGAAATCTTGTAGGTAATTACATTTATTCGCCGGAGGGTTTTGTGAAAATCAGCACAACGGGAGAGCCCCACCGTCAGTGAAGCATTCGCTCGTCCGCTCGACCGTCCCATCGTCATCGCAAGTTAAATAAGGTAGGAAAAGTAAGAAATAATCAGAGGTTACCAACACTTTGCTCTTTGTGCTTGACTCCTGAGAGCCGTTCCGTGAATGCTGACCGGATCGTCTGGCGACGCTCCGCTCGATTATTGAACTCACAAACGTCGTTCCTATGTTCCTGCGTCTCTCTGTCTACCTATCTATCGGTCCTTCAGTCAAGAAAAGCCCACTGGATGTTTCGCCACTCTATCTGCCACCTCCGTACGTCGGATTCTTGAATGTGGTGATCGCGCGTTTGTAAATCGGGTTCTCACCAGTCCCGAATCTGGCTTGTTTGCTTTCGTCTTTGAATTTGGCATATTCTCTCCTATCATGGATCGTGGTCAGCAGCTTCCAGATAAGCAGCAAGAAGAGACCGATCAACACAATACCCAGGATGACAGCGATGATGATCGCTAGAATATCGACAGGCTCGGCGCATTCTTTATCCTTGGCACGTACCGAATACTTTCCATTCTCTTCCCTGAAACAGCAAGCAGTTATGAGTGACTTATGCGATCGAAAATGAACGCATATTGTGAGGAGTGACACAGCAGTCACGGAGCGTACAATATCAGCCACATGAGCCGATCAGAGGAACTTGCCTATAGACGAATGTGATTTTGCAATCTTGTGCGTCTCTGAATATGCACAATTTGTCTCCTTTGTCCTCGTTGTAGTCCAGAAGCGGACTCTTGATCGTGATGAATTGATGATCGCATTTCTCATGACACAACTCTTTGGTGTCGTAGCGGCGTCCAGGATTGTCAGGGAACTGTTGACACTCGACGCAATCCTTAAACTCGATACATTTGCCCGGACAGGTGGGACATTCCCCGCATGTGTCTCCGGTGAAGTCTTGCTCGCAAATACACTTGCCGCAATGACATTTTCCATGCCCATTGCAAACTCCGCCGTTCGCCGTCAAGCAGCGCTCGTTCGAAGTGGCACAGCTACAGTCAGCGCCTTCCCAGCCGGGTTTGCAAACGCATTGTCCACAAACGCAGGTCCCACGGTCTTCACCGCCGCAAAGTTTGTTATTGTGACGATCGCATGAGAAATTGTCACACTCGCAGAATCTGCCCGTGATGATTTCAAGAGGCGAACTCCTTTCGTTGCAACGACATTCTCCGCAGTGGCATTCACCACGACCTGAGCAGAGTCTGCTTTCGCCTGCAGCCCTGCAAGTTTCCTCTCCGACTTTCGACTTATTCGAGTCTTCGCATTCACAGAACTTCCCGCTGTGACCGTCGTTGCATTGACATATACCGCATTGATGAGTGCCGACGCCGTTACAAAGCGGTGATCGAGGTGTTCCGGGAATACTTTCGCAAGCACAAGCGCAGACCATCTCGAGATCGATGGTGAGCTTCTCGCTCAGGCCGACGGGTGAAATGGTGATAGTTCTCTTCCAATCCTTCGGGTCCTTGGGACACTTCTTCAAGTCTATAATAGCATCGAACTGGACCTGATCGCCCACTTTTATCTTGTCGCACTTGTTCGTCTCCATGGGTTTGGGTGCGTTCGTGTCCAAGCATTTCGATTGGAAGGAGACCTTTATGAATGTTTCGTCGTCTTTCTGCTTGGGCTGCTCTTTCTCGATTTCGTATTCCCTTCGAATTTCGTAAGTCATCTCGATCTGGGAGGTAATACGTTGGTATTGCTCCTTGACGAGATCGACTACATTCGAAGAGTCGTTGGCAAGCTTTCCGTGACTGCAACCTTCGAGCATGTTGGCGAGCTTCGAGTAAATAGATTCTTGATCTTCGGTGACTGCGAATATTATGCTGATTTTGTTCTCTTGGATCTTCGAGTTTATCTGGCTGAGGGACGGATAATCCAATTTGTCGCTGTGCGTGTACTCATTCGAGACCAAATGACACTGACCGTCATTCGGTGTCACAATGCCTGGAAAAGTCGCTGTCATGAACACTCCATCTCTTTCCCGGAGCTCTCGGATCGAAATCGTACCGGTTATCACTGATCGCATCGCTGCGTCCGCGTCAGTCTGAATGCTCACCTCCGAGTTTACCATCACCCGCATAATGGAAACCGGCGTCGGTGGAGAAGAGCAGGAGACGCCGGGCGTTTCTCCTCCACGCGATCTCCTTCTCGCAAACGACCGCCTGCAAGGAAGTGATCTTGATATCATGCTCCTTCCGTGAAAGGTCCTCGAAAGACTCCGCATGGATCTCCGTGCTCGAGTCCGGAACGAATATATGTGCGCCGATGTTGGAGCATGAGATCTCACCTGCATGATGGCATCGAATCCACCTTCGGGAGCGTCCAGATTCCCAGAAACGTTTGCAGCTTGCACCTAGAACCATCTCCCGTTAGTTCCGATTGCGGCGGGTTTCCCGAATCGATTCACGGGGAACCACCTCGACAAACAGACACTAACCTCGGCCACGAATCGCTGGGTGTTTCCAGTCAGGGCGAGATGATTCCGAAAACCGTAAGGAGGGACGCACTTAGTACAAGGTTCGTTCAGTTTTTCGGGTACCATGCTGACGTAAGGCATGACGACTTTGTCGACGAAGGATCCGAAGCCCAAGCGGAAATTGCGGGTGATTTTGTTCATTTCGTCACCCAACTCTTTGCCGAGCTTCGCAAGCTTCTCCTTATCGTCGCTCATAGAGTTCGACAGATCCATCAGATAATAGAGATCAACGGGATAATCTTCGGCTTGCCTGAACAAGATCGGCACGGTGTGACTGCAAAAGGATGCTTGCTAGATGAATGCCAGCAACGCCGTAGATCCACTGGGTCGTCTCCGAGACATCGATTTTATAAATTTTCAATAGGCCGGACTCCGTGAGCTCTAACGCACCTCACGCCGGGCCGCAGCTTTAGTGTCAGCCTCTGGGGCTTGAGTTGTACAATCGTTTCCGCATTTGTGGAGCGTGGCTCAGTCAGGTTTCTATCTTCGACAATGTGTACCTCCTGAGTTTTCTGATCGTCGAATTCCCCCTGCAAGTTTTCAGGACAGTCCGCATGAACCCGCATTCTGAAAGAGCGTTCTTGAATAGACGGAATTATCCGCGAGCTGCCTGAATAAGTGGAAACTAACTTTGCATTTTTCTCTGTGTATGACGTGAAGATCGCATCGGGAACCTTCGTAGGATTCCTTGTTGCACCAGGAACACAGAGGCCCGGCCTGGAGGCAGTCTTTGCAAGTCCTCTGAGTCATGCAGACGTCGGCTGCTCCATCTGCAATCACAGGTCTAATTACTCAATATATCCACCACGATGATTCAGCGGATGTCCGAAACAAGCATTCGTCAGGTCTCGAACCCCGGACTCCGGGGGAGTTTTTTTTCTCAATTACCTTGGGTGGACTGAGCATTGACCGCCGCGGTCAGGAACAACGCAGCTAGAAGCCACGGAGACTTCATCTCCTCCACGGATACGATTTTTCGGTGTTCGATCTAAAATTCAAGAGCAATTCGCAAGAATTCGGAGCCGTGACAACAGGGGTGAGGCGATGCGTCCGACCGAGACAGCAGACAGATTTCTCTTCCGAATAAAATCGCGGTTCATCGTGGGAACATTTGCGCGCGTGGGCTTCCTCCAAAACAGGAAACAGCATCGTGTTTTCTCCGGTCAGAACCTAGGGGCATATTACGGATGAATCGAGCAAAATCGGGAGAATCAGCAGCACCTCGTAGAAAAACTGTCCGAAATCGGGGAACGGAACCCGTTGGGGCTGTTTATTCAAGCCGAGCTGAGGCCTTGTCTGCCGCCTACGTTGCCCGCTGTTAAGGGAATAGAGCGAATATTGAGCAACCCACTTTCCCTGGCTGTGTTTACGAACAACACGGAGGCCATTGGAACTCTACAGGGGATGGAGGAATCATCTCGTACCAATATCTTAGTCGCGTACTCTGACAGCTTCGGAGCATATTCGGCCGGAGAATGTGAAAACATTGAGCTTATTGGAAACTATATAATTCGCTCTGAAGGGTGAGCGGTAACGTTCGCCCTCTATGCCAGGGGAAGATCTCCGCCCTCATGGAGGAGTCTGCGGAGTTTCTCGCGCTGGCTCTAATCGTCACATAACATATATGATCAGAATGACCAGGCAAGCCTCCCCAAATGCTTCTCCGAGCCGTGATGATTGTAATGGGTCGGACTCAGGACGGAGAATCATGAATTTCGCTCTCGGAAAATGCGAATGCATCATCATATCAAAGGGAGATCGCCGGACTTCCACAGTAGTCGGGCTCGACGACGACGACGATAAGCGGAAAGCCGGAGCAGATCCACGGCGAAGTTCGATCGAGCGGTCCTTATAAGGGGAATCGCTCATTCCCGTCGGTCAGTCGATACACATCCAGCTCTGCTTGACGCTCAGGTCTAAGGCAGATCTTTTAATTCCGTCACTCACTCTACTCTGCCGCGAGGTCGGCTGAGGCGAATATGGCTCTAGTAAGAGTGGTGAACCGCAGAAATCGATGACGGTCGCTTAGTCATTCTGCAAAGCGCCATGCGAACCTTTCCTGGGATTCTTTACGATATCGAGTCACAGCGTCTTTCTCTCTTCACGGCTTAAGGAAACGCCGACGCGTTTCAAATGCTAAAGCTTCAGCTTTTGATTTCTACGTCCGAGACAGCCGCTGAAGTACCCCTGTGGGCTGGTAGTCGAGCCTCCTCCAGGGACCCTCCCGGAATCGACTGCGAAATGTTCCCGAGAAATTCAAGAACCCCCGACTCTCTCGTATCGCGCTACAAGTCGAGAAGATCAAGGGGAGCTCTCGCCGCGCGATGCCGACAATGCATGATTCTTGACTCAGAGACTCGTGAACTCTACTGCGGTTGGACTGCAGTGTGCAGCTCAGAACGGCGCAAGTGACAGTATGGGAACAGCATGGCTTACCACAAGTCAAGGAACTCTCCGAGGTTTCTCTCTGAGAACAAGAGCGGGGAGCGATCTGGGGAAAGCCACAACATTCACTTTGCCGGTCCACTAGTCCATCACTGAGAACTTGGAAGCTTCCGAAGCGGCGTGAATAGGAACTCGCACCGTATCACTGCGTGCTTCTCGATGGCGAACAACGCTCGTCAGACTTTCAGCTCTTTGTTGTTCCCAAAACGGTGATGGGTCTCTTCTCGATATGGCAGGCCGCCAGGAGTGGCGGTCATAAGAGAAGCATGGCGAGTTTTGTTCGCAACGCGCCGCTGTCCCGCGCGTTCGCCAACTTCGAGCAGCTCCCGAGAGCCACTTCAGTGTCCTGCGGCGTGGTCGATTAGAGATCGCTGTCTTGCATTTCCCCGCATGGTGGAATTCCCGAGCGAGTATGGCGTCCAAGATAGGTGCGTCCGAAAATTAGGAGCCAATGCTCCGGAGTACTCGACCGCCTGGAGCCGAAAAGTTGTCGGTGACATCGGACCAAAAAGTTTCCCAGCCATCTCCCGGATCGGGGCTCGGGGCTGACATCTCGATCGTCCGGCACGGAATACGCTCACGGGAGCAGGGAATGGGCTCAGAGCGAGCTCATCGAACCATCCAGGGATCCGAATCGAGACGATGAATTCTCGCGTTGATCGGCTTGGAACTAGAGTTCCGGGGGAGATGTGCTGCGGCTCCGCTCACAGTCAGCGCGCATTCGTCAGGGCACGCTACTCCTCTGGCGTTGCTCGAATCTGATATAGCCCCAGCTTGGATCAATACTTCCCGCTACGATTTTCCAGAGCATTGAAATCGTCGAGGAGACAAGTTCGTTGACTTGGCACGGTCTGTTCTCCATCACATGGGGCCCCACCGTGCGTGGGTGCGGGAAGATAAGCCGGCGAATTTCTCCGCCAACAAGCCGACTTAGCGGCAAACCATAAGAGAGAAGAACTGCGGCAAAGCGCTTCTTGGTATAGCGGCTCCCTTATACCCTTGGTCGTAAGTGAGTGTCGATGTGTCAGCAAGGCCCTTCATGAGAACTCTCCCTTTCGCGACCCATACACGTCCGGTGATGGATCAATCGACCCGGAATCGAGAGAGTTGTCCGAGAAACTGATCTATTGTGTCTCTTTCGTCGATTGGAACTTCGTTCCGATAAGCGCTTTCGGCGACTTCGATTGGGACTTCTCGTCAAAATTTCGAGTAGAACAATAGAATCGTATCGAATACTCGAGCACGGCGTCTGCCCCACTGAGCTTGGCGCATATCAGCTAGCATCGCCAAGTCCAGTATATGCGCGTCGCAAACTCCGTCCGGAGGATCTCAGCTTGGTCAATGAGAGACCGGCCTGAATGTGGCCGGAGTAATTGAGACTGAACGATGCAGTCTGACCCAGGGAGTCGCCTCTGGAATCATTGATCTGTAGTCGAGTAGAGTCTAGAAGAAGAGCGGTCGGTCTGGGAGCCACCTCGGAGATGTCGATTGAGGAATTCCATTTCTGCTACCTTCACCGAGAACAAATACGTGTTCTCCATGTCACCCACACGTTGTACTTTATGGGCTGATGTGCAAATCGTGCGCGTCTACGGAATGAGCTAGCTCTTTGGGAGTCCTTGGGAGCCGCCGTGCGGTTGTGGGATGGGGGTAATCCATGATGAGACCAGTATTCTCCTCCCAATCTTGATATCTATTTAGAGACGGTTGAGTCCCGGCGATCGCCCGAATCAGCTGGAACCTCCAAGGGAAGATCATCACCATCATTGTATTCACCCTCCAAGGGTTCTTGGTGGAGAGCTAGTTTGCGTGATCCGTGTTCGCATCCCACTGAATTATCCTACGACCCTGAGGCTGTAAGCTGCACAAAGCCAACACACCAGAGTATGGCGGGGGGCTCTTCGATCGAGCGGGCGGAGCGGCCGATATTCACTCTTATCGACCATTCCAGGACGTCGCGGGAATAATCCATTGTTTCGATTCTGACGAACAGATTCAAGATGATGGAACCAGCGAGACCCCTCCGGATACTCAGGAGGATAGGCGTTGTGTTCCCGGTTTTTGGTTTCTGCATCGTCTTCGGTACCTATCTTGAGAGACAGCAGCGGAAAAACTACACCAGATTCCGGTGAGCGAAAACGTCTGATGTCGGAATTGGATGGTTTTTGGATGAATTCAATGAATTTTTCATATTGCTTCCAGCGGCCAGAGCCAGCTGTACGGCAAGCCGTCCAAACCGGGAGATCCCCTACCATGGGAGTGACAGAGCCGACACCCGTGCGACGGAATGACGGAAACTAGTTCGCTTGATAAGCTGTTTATATAAAGTGAGATCATACAGTTCGCAGTTTGTTATCTTTCAACCGCTGCGCTCTCTCGTGGAACATCTAATGTCTTCAGTCGTTGGGAGACTCTAAGAGAGAATGGCTCGAGACAGTGTCTAGATTCTGCTCCGGCTTCGTCCATGAGACGGCGGAAAACGCCGAAGTCATGCTGACGGGTCTTCCAGAGCGGCGGAGTGAAGTCTATCGGTGTCACCCGCGGAAGCTCCTCCCGGAATGTCTGGGGTCGAGCTCCGATCATCGAGATTCCCGATCGCTCGTTGAAAACTCAGCGTTTCGATGAGTCGTATCGTATCCCCGTCGCCTTTCGATCCAAACAGTGTGACTCGGTCTCTGAATAGCTTTCGCGCACGGAGGAGCATCGATGCCCAATATCACCCTCCACGTCCTGCGACGATAAGAGGGCAAAAGGAAATGTGTGTTCTTTTGAGATGATCGAGATGATTACCGATACGGAGCGAAGCTTTCACATTGAGGCATTCGTGCAACACAGCGTCCAGTCCTTCCGGGGCAGTCGCGGTCCGTTTATTCCGCCCGAGTACTCGGCGTTAATTACAGATCGATCTTGCGAACCCCGCTCCGACTCCTACTCTTGGTAATGCCCTCCCGCCGCGATATCGATGCTCCTTTGGGGATGAAGATTTTTCGCGGAAATTCGCGGCCTCCATTGAAACTCTTTGAAGAGTAGCCGGAAGTTTCCGCGAAAATTCGCGGAAAAATGGCGGTCCGCGAAAAATCTTCAGCCCTACTTATCATTGACCTGGCCCTCCAATCGGTGCAGAAGCCTTTATTTGTTGGTCTGAGTCTTGTCTCAGAGCGTCCAGCCTATGACTCGAATGATTGCAGTAAGAAATTCCTCTAACGACATTCATAATTCATCTTCACGACTTCCTCCTCTGACTAGAAATCATCTTCCCGATCTTCTTCATAACGTACTCCGTCGCGATGATTGGTCCAGACGTCAGCAGACCCTGTGAACATGTAAGCCAGAGGAAGTCAAATCGACAAGGATGGCGATTACCCGACGAGCAGGCACTCTCAGACGACGAGGTATCGATTTTGGGACTCACCTTGAGACTTTGTCCAAGTGCCGGACCTCTCACGATGGAGCGGACGCTTCTGTGAACGATGTCGGCGCAGAGTGATGATGGATTCCGCGCAATAGACTGCCGAATAGCAATACATGAGAGTAGATTTCAGCTCGAGCCATTTCAGTCGATTCTCGCAAAATGTCTGATTGAAACAGAGCTGTTCCCGGGGACCTCATCTGGTCCTACCTTGAGTACATCTTCTACGTCCTTGTGCCGATTATCGCCAGGTCGCCATTTAGTGAGGAGTTGATGCTGGACCGATTTTGGCAAAAGCTCGAGGTGGTGCAATCTAGCTGCCTGGGAGAGGTCCTGATGCACTTGAGAAGAACCCGGGGACCACTCCACCGTGGTCATCGAGGTCAGGAACGGAGAGTAGATGTCTTCGAACTCCCTCATAGCAGGTTTCACGATGTTTGCTACCTACGGAAGAAGATTTTCACGATTCGAACCACTGGAATGGGGGGTTATTGAGCGTCTCCCGATGTTCGCTCCCCTCACCTTGTTCTTGTCCTCCCCGAACAGCATGCGGAAGTCCCCATCGTAGGAAAGTCGTGTGATTCTGATGAAAAGATCTTGCAAGGAGAACGTCTCAGGCAGAGTGAGCAGAGCGGTGTGCAGCGCGCTCCTCAGATTCATGTCTTGGGCCATGCTCATCTCGGTGTCCACCTGCGGCAGTCGGTCAGTCATCAGGGATCGGGAATCGAGCTCCGATCTCGTTCGCCGCCGAACGAAAATAGGGGCTCGCATAAGCTCAGGACCTCAACTCACATCCGTGATGTAATTTATCGGCTTGTGCATCCGGCCAGCTGTATACAACACGTCCCAGTCCAATAGGTCCGAGATAAGTCGATCTTTCGAAATGACTCCGTACTTCAAAAGTTGCTCATCGATCCGGACAGCTGCAAGAGGATTGTGGGTCAAGTGGAAGAAAAAGCTCTTCCGAAAAGAAGAATTCTCGGCATGAGTCGGCTTTTGACTCAAGCTCGGTAGAACTCACCTGTGTTGTAATAGACGTATGCGGGGGCGTCGTTTAGTCGCGATATAAAGGCGGGACCGAAGACTCTGACGAATGAATAATGGTGGGGATTCCTCTGCAAATTCTCCGAATGGAACTCCTGCAAGGATTGCGATCACGCACGATGAAAATAAGGGTGAGAGGATGACCATACGCATGCCGGGCGAGTTCGCGGGCGTTTCGCAGCTTGAAACAACCTTTGGATTATCTACGACGAGGATCAGGTCAAGCATGTTGTCCCTCGAATAATTGTTGGCTTGCTTGAAAGCTGCACTTCCATAGGCAAAAGCCGCTGAGACCGATGGAAGGCTCGATAATATACTCCGTGAAGCTAGGACAGGGAGTGAGGCCGCCATCATCTGTAATATGATGTATATGTACTTTGATCGAAGGCTGTTCGGCCCAGAGGGGAAGTTCTCCGAGGCTGACTATGTTTTCTGCGGAAGAACGCACATGTCACGGGATTATTAGCGATGATCCACCCCTCACCTGGATTCGTCTTGGAACGACTCGGTGATCAGAATGGAAATTCGGTACATTGAAGTTCGAAAGGTCGGCTCAACCGATGTTGCATAGGTCCGAGAGGAATTCGTCACCGACTTGATCGCGCGGGAGTCAGAACAGCTCAGACCCCTGGTCGCCGATTCAAGACAGTATTGAGCGCACGGAACGATTTCAGGTCAATGGCTCAGGGTGCTCACAGGCCGATGCGGAGAGTTCCTCGCGCAGACTTTCTCGATGGATACGGAGACCACGGGAACCACAGCTGATACTTCGACGGATCGACGCAGACCTCGCGCTGTCTCGCCGATCGTCGAACGTTTTCAAATTCCGCGCGCCTGTGCTGCAGCACCACCCGGTGGATGTTAGCCGAACTAATGCGATTGCGGTTGGTTGTATTGGTGGTCGTCTCTCTCTACTCTCACAACAGCAGCGACGACGAGCCATTGTGCCTGTGTGTGTGCTTCAACGGCTGCTCCCGTAACATCTCCGATTTTCCGTGTGCGATCGACGTTCGACCAAGAGTCGTGCATTGAGGAACGTGCCCAAATCTGATCCATAGCCGGGACACTTCATACCGAGCGATGTCGTTCCACCGGGGCCCAGCCAGGTAATCCTACAACCAGACATACAAATCATCCCGAGTTCGACGAATGCCGGCTTCGTTAGGCTTAGGGAGAGATGAATCGTTCTCGCTGTTATTAGTGCAACGACGGTAGTCTCGATCTCTGATTCACTCCCTGTGGATGGACCAGTTGCGATGCTCGAGGCTCCTCGATAGGTCGGGGATAGTTAATCGGCTGTAATCTTGTATCGGGAGCTCTCGGTCAGAAATCCTTCTCGGTTGCCTTCGGTCAACCATCGCTTGTAGCACAGCATCACTTTTTGAGCATCTATGTTTCGAACTTATCTAGGCACGGCGAAAACTTCAATTTCCTCGAAAAGTCTCGATTCCACCTGCTTCTTCAGCTCGGGTCAGAACCGAGCTGTGTGCAAGCGAAGAGTGTGTCCGGCGTTGCTGCCTTGAGAATCCGCGAGCACGATTCAGTTGGGATATTCGAGCTTCAGAATGAGGAATTCGCCTATTCCGGAATCGGAGTCGGCAAGAGTCGAATATAGGCCCGTGCGTCGACCGAGGCTTCTTTGAATGCAAGATTGCGCGTGTCTTCCTTTTTTCCCGCCTCTCTCAATTCACTGTACTAAGAGAGCTCTTTCACCTCGAACAGTTACGGGAATCCGGGTGGCCGCGATATGGGATTCCGTAATGGGAATTCCCGAGGGGGTGGAAGTCAACCTGGGGGATCGCTCCGGAAGCCTCGTTGGGACATGGAACGACTGCCTCCTTTCCAGAAGGATTTCTACCGCGAAAACGAAATCACTCAGAGCAGGTATGTAGCCCCGCAATTCCCTTCCGTAACATTCCAAAAATAGAGATCTGCGAGTATCCCGAGATATTATCGAAGGCGATATCAGAGCAAGATTCTACCTTCCAGATCTTCCGCGGACGTTGACTTGTTCCTCCAGAACAACGAAATCACTTTGTCTGGTCGGGGAGTTCCGAAGCCGATCCTCACGTTTCAGGAGATTGAATTACCCCCAGACGTTGTGGTTGTGATCCAGGAGCAAAAATATCAGGCACCGACCTGCATTCAGGCCCAAGGTTGGCCGATCGCGCTCTCGGGGAGAGACCTCGTTGGAATCGCACAGACCGGCTCTGGGAAAACCTTGGCTTTCATACTGCCCGCCATAATCCACATCCAGAACCAACCAAGACTCCAACGGGGCGATGGTCCCATCGCTCTCGTCCTTGCTCCTACCAGAGAACTGGCGCAGCAGATACAGACCGTGGCCGACACTTTCGGGAGACCAGCCGGTGTGAGAAATACCTGTGTGTTCGGAGGGGCACCGAAAGGCCCCCAACTCCGAGATCTTGAACGAGGTGTGGAGATCTGCATCGCTACACCTGGACGTCTGATTGATTTCCTGGAAGCCGGGAAAACCGACTTGCGACGTTGCACCTATCTCGTGTTGGACGAAGCAGACCGTATGTTGGACATGGGTTTCGAGCCCCAGATCCGTAAAATCATCGAGCAAATTCGTCCTGACCGGTAAGATTCCTGAAATGATATGTTCCGCTACAAGTCTCGCGGGTCTCGACGCATAGCTCGATAGGGCTCCTGATTCGGGCACTATGCTTATCTACTGGTGTACTTACAGTCAAGTTCTCATGTGGTCGGCAACGTGGCCGAAGGAAGTCAAAAGTCTGGCTGAGGATTTCTTGAAAGATTATATCCAAATCAATATTGGAGCTCTACAACTGTCGGCGAATCATCGGATTCTGCAGATCATCGACGTCTGTTCTGAATCTGAGAAGGATAGCAAACTCATCAACTTGCTCGAAGAGATAATGAACGAGAAGGAAAATAAGGTGAGCACCTCCTCGTGCATCGACATGCGATGCGCCGTAAGAACCGCTCGATCGATAGCCATGATTGTGACGAAACTCTCTTGCAGACAATCGTATTCGCGGAAACAAAAAGAAAAGTAGATGAAATCACCCGCCGGATGCGACGCGATGGTTGGCCTGCCATGTGCATACACGGTGACAAAGCTCAGCAGGAACGCGATTGGGTCTTGCATGAATTCCGTTCGGGGAAGAGCCCCATTCTGGTGGCTACCGATGTTGCTGCTCGGGGTCTTGGTGAGTGAATTCGGAGCGGAATCTCGGATTTCATACAATCCTCAACCGCTTCAGCCATAGGTTATCCTTCCGTTTCCAGTCGGTGTCGTTCTTTTCAAGAGTGATATGAGTCGTCGCCCTCAGTGCCTCGATCGATTATTTCTTCGATATATGTATGTTCAATATTCGATCACAAGACTAGGAATAGCTCTCCTTGCCCCTGCCATTCATATTCGATCTCGCGACGTTCAAGACGGTCCGGGAGCAAGAGAGACCCTGGACCAACCTGGGTATCTGCTCCATAGCTGAAGCCGATTCGCGAACTGTGGGCATCAAAACGAGAATCTGAGTCTTAATCAGCTCTCGCGACATCATCGTTGCGAGTTAGAGCTGCCAAAATTCATCGCCGTGAATGATATATGTACCCGAAGCCCCTCTCGCTATTGGATGCCCACAGTCTGCGAGAAGCCCAATTAGCTCGCGGATATTCAACGGAAATAATGATTGACTTGTACATCAGACGAATTTGAGTAGAAAATCGAAATTGAGCGGTTCGCTAAATGTTCTCTTGGACTCGTTCTCAGGTGAGGCTTACGGCTGTTTGGAGTTGTCTCTCTTCTCTCCGATGGATACCGGCTGGTCTCGAGTCGAATGTGAGGTGCAACACGTAGCTGGTTGACTGACTGACTGACCGATCGATTGACCGTTCGTCTGTCTGTCCGTCCGTCTGTCTATCCGTCGGGAAGACCGGCTCACTGACGACCGCCCGACCGAATGGCTGGCTAACAACGGAGCTTGAGGAGAGACCACAACGGCCAACTGACTCGCCTCGCTTTCTCGCCGAATTGTTTGACTGATTCGCGGACCGTGTATGTCGCTGGTACTCACGGTGGAGGAGTTCACATCGGATTCTGCCGAGCTCTCCGCGAGTACTTGGTCGCCGTGCACCGTTGTTCAGTCGGGAGCAAGCGATCGATCGATCGACGCTGCACAGATAATTCCCGCCATGGTGCGGCGGTTTTTGCTCCGCTCACAATCGTGATTCAACAGCCTCCACGAGTTCCGGCGTCAAACCTCTGTCCTCTGCGTTTGTCGTTCGCTTGTTGCGGATTTGTGCTATTGATGCTGCAAACCTCGACAAGGATACAATCTTCCGGCTGGCGCATCGTTTTTCTCGCTCGCTCACGGGTTTATCTGTTGTCCTGACCACGGATTCTGGAAGCGGTGTCGACAGTGCAGAAGCCACAGGAACAAGGGAAGAGGTTGACGGGAGCAAGAGCGGTCGATGAGATCTTCATTGCAAATGATGGAGGCGTATAGAAATTTATCGGCCGTCGCGTGGGGAGCCGATGATATCTCTCTTAATTTTTCTGTCTAGGATAAGCTTAGCACCTGTCAATCGTCCGGATGCAACAAGTCGCCGACTTTGAGCTGATCCAATCATTCCAGTGACCTCATATGGTTCAAGATTGTCCGCATCTTCATGATTGACTTCTCAATTGTTTTCTCGCATTCATCATTTTGTATCTTGTCTGTACATCAGCGTGAGGACGGAATGACGGTGTCTCTTGGAGGCGCGTGTTCACGGACATATTCTCCCCTTCGGAAACACATCCATCCCGCTTCCGTATCACACGCATCTTGCAAAGAGATATTTTTTCTGGATCAACCTTATTCGGACAATGAATTTCGAGCGCAGTACGAGCTCATGAGTGTCCTCCTGAAGTCGACGGGACGAAGCTCAGGAGGGTACTGACCACAGCCGCGGACAACACGTGGCCTGGCCTGCTCCAGGTACGTCATATCCGAGGGCTTTCAGTGAAGTGCGCTGTCGATCGAAATTCATCCGGCTCGAATGCACCTGATCTCGAAGAGGCTCGACTCCGAATCCCGAATGTCTCGCTCAATATCGCCTCTAATTTTTCACTCAGTACTTTCCAGTTTAGGCAATTCTTATATCGCCTGGTCCTCACCGAGAACCAGCATACGGCGGAGGGTGACTTCGTTTGAAGTGTCGCAGACAATGTTCTCGCCATCCGATCCGCCGAATCCTGACTTGGAATGCCCAACGATCAGCATTCATTTCTTGCGATATCTAGCAATAATATCATGAGTGCTTGAAGTTAACTTGCATGGATGAAGGTGGACGTGAACTAGAACTGGAAAGTGGAAGGATTTCAGACGAAGCGAATCACTTTGTTCGGCTCCGATACGATGAAGTGTGCAGGAGAGCTAACGATTTTCGTGTCTCTAGACGTGGACGACGTGAAATTCGTCATCAACTATGACTACCCGAATTGTTCCGAGGACTACGTCCATCGAATCGGTCGTACAGCGCGCTCGAACAAAACCGGAACCGCCTACACGTTTTTCACATCGAACAATGCGAAGCAAGCGCAGGAACTTATCGACGTGCTTCAAGAAGCGAAGCAGGTAAGATATCCGGAAATTCACTCATCACAATGTATTCGAGCTACAAGAACAAGCGGCGTTCCCCTCCTTGCGTATTCTCGAAATATGGATCTTTCTGAATAAGCACCTCGGGAATTCTAGGTGGTTAATCCCAAACTCTACGAGCTGGCTGATTCAGCCAAGGGTTTCGGGAACAGCAAGAGACGCTGGGGTGGTCCACCGTCTCGAAATGGCGGCGGTGCATTCCGCAACGGAGGTGGGAACGGCTACGCCAACGGACGGGCGAAATGGTAAAGCGCTGGAGTCTCCCTTCCGGATCGATCCTTAGGGTGCGAGCAAACTTCAGATCTCTCCGAAGCAACCTATCGTCGGTCTGAGAAATTCTTAAATTATGAGGGTCAGCCATCATTATTGCGGAGGGACACGCGCTCCTAGCTGAAGTCCGAATCTTCTACCAAAAGCAATGGCTTTACACCTATCCATGGCTTCGTCGCCCGAATGCTTCCTCGATTCGCAAATCGGAATTTCGGGGCTCGTGAAATTAGTTCTCATGAGGGTCTTCAGTTCTTTGAAAGAATTCGGAGCCACACAATCATCGGTAATCATCAAGAGCGAAGAGACGGTCGTATCAGACGTGGTGGAAGTCTCCCTGAGGTACCGAGCAGGAGACTTGAGAAGCTGAGCTTTACCGCAAGCTCAACCTGAACGAGATGTATAACCACACGAGAAAGTCTCTCATCTCGTGATGTCCTTTCCGAAACCTGGGCCGACCTTTTTGGACTTCAATACTTGTGTTGTCGCTGGATGTGGTGAGTATGACGGGGTTTCAATTGTCTCGAACCTTGAGTTCCCAGTGAGTTTCGAGCAGGAGCCAGATCAGATTGACGAATAAACATCAAATCAAAGATCAAAACCTTGGCTCGGAATTACGCGTGGGTCTACGCAAGACCTTCACCGGATGGTTGTCTCCTGATGATATTTATCAAGTCGTTCACGTAGCAATCTCCAGTTTCCAGTTTTTGAAGCGTATCTAGGAGCGAATTCATTAAAATGCATCTATATGAATATTATTATTATTACAATTATCATCATATTCGGCAACACGGCACCGTCCGTCGGATTTCTCCAAAAATAGGCGTAATGAAAGTAACGAATAAAGGTCTTGGAAAGAAATATGATATCAACGGTTTCTTAATTGACCTTCTCATTTTGGGAAAAATCCTGCTGGGTGGCGTTCTTATCGTCCCTCGACAGGCACGACGGCCCGTTTCTTCATCGAGAGCCAAAGAGACCTGTACTTAGAGTAGGCATGACGCGACGTTGCTCGCCTCGATCAGCTTCAGAATATCCTACAAGAAATTGAGGAGAATGTCGGCTCGACAGATCGAGTGGATGAATGGAGACGGATAACTGATGACCGATTCTACGCTCCAGCCGTAGTACAACGAGAACGGCTCGGGAGAATCGCCCACACAAGTTGTTCCCAGTCGACTACTGGAACGACAAAGGTTGCAATCTCCACTGGTAGGAATCGTTCGTTGCTGTCAGAGCACGAGACGGTAAATCAATCGACGTTTCCTTCAGCTGACAGCACGACTGACTTTGGCTGGATTGAGAACGTTGGTATCACCACGGAGGGATACCTCATATGGCGTTGCTCAGCAGGGAGCGGGAAGAGAATGGGCAATAATCTCGATTTCCTCGATGAGAGCATCGGAATCAGATAAAATTCCTCTCAGGTGGATCCTGGGCTGAGGATCCTTCTTTCAGGCGGATTTTGGCTAAAGATTCGATGAGCTTGACAGGCCTAATTCCGCTAAGGAGCTCTGGATGGTTACAGTGGCTGCCAAGGGAAATTCACCTCGGACGGTGCTTGATTCCATGCCTGGAAGTTGCTGGGTCCATTCGACCAAATCTTCATTTCCCCATTCTCCACGACTTTTCGCTCATCTCCATATTTCGCATTCTGCAAAAATAACCAGAATAGGGCTCCACACCGTGAATTATAATTGGAAGTCCGCCATGCATATGTATACGCGGCGCAGGATGGACTCCGCAGCGATGACGCTTCCCTTCGATACTCCGACTCAAAGTTGGAGGCGATAGAGGTACGAGAGTTCTTGCAGAATTTTCCAAGTGAAACTCGCATGAAAACCTCGACCCCCAACCTCCCATTGCTGATGAAATCGCCTCTGAGGATTTCGAGGAGAGAGCTCCCTGCTGATGGAGCGAGCAGCGTCGCCCTTCCTGATCGAACGGTCAGGCCGAGCGCACTGACGTCCGGGACGGAAAAAATCGTGATTACATGAACGAGACTATAAAATGTAGCAGAGCTACATCCATCATGTGAGCATGCTCGCAGGCCTTGAGCGACGGTGACCGTAGGATTCCCCCGTGCCATAATGGCGAACAAGCTGCCTCCGAGCAAGGCAGCGATCTCGATCGAATACCGGCAAAAATATAATCGTTCGTCGTGACACAGTGGCGCTGCGACAGCTTGCGCCGTCCTTCTGCGTGACGATCGCCAGAGCGCACCTTCCGCCGAAGCAAATATCTATCAGACAACAGCGAGAGATAACGGGAGAGATCGTGCTTCAAACGGACAAGTCTCATATTATTCCCGCGCAAGGTGACAGATACTTGTATGGAAATCGCTGCCAGTGAAGAAGCCCAACCTCGCTGATGGCGGTCTTCCCGCATCTGGAACGCGGAGGCGTTTGGACCTACGTGCTCACCCTGGTCGCAGTGCTCACACAACGACTGTACGCTTCCGGTGTAGACAGCCGGCTGGGGGATGGATCATCGGTGACATGGACTGATCAACGAGGTGTATTTGCAGCCACGGACGGCAAGACAGTGACGTTGAGCGCGAGAGACTTCCACAATCTGATCGATACGCTCGTGGATACACTCAAGTTACTCCGGGAGTCGAGTACGAAATGTTGCTCGGGTTGTGAATCGAAGCCGCTGATGATGCCGTGGTCGGCTGTTCCGATGGTGCCGATGAACCAGCCCTGGTTCGCCGTGCAGCCTCTCTCCCTACCGCAGCAGATTCCAGCCTTCGTTCCTCACCCGCCAATGACGCCTCAGTTCGCCTTCAGTGCCGGCAACGGGACTTTTTTCAATTCGAGGGGTCCGTGGTTGTACCCTTGGCTTGACGAATATCGAAGCGCGCATAGTTTTCCGCGCATAAATTACCTCAATCGTCCAGGAGGGTCCGTCCAGCGCGCCAGTGTGCCTGAAGAGCTCCCCGTTCCCCTGATCGAGGAGGGCGGACATTTTTTACCTCAGCTGGCGCCATATCAGGACCCTGCTTTCAAAATTTGGGATCTCGATTCCGTCGACCGTGGCGGTGCTCCCAGAATTTTCGATCCCGACCGGGGATCCGCCCCTCAGGTGAACGACGGAGGGACAAATCTGCCTCCACACCTGCCGGGCGAGGACGGTCAAGTCGGAGCGAATGTTCTCCACTTCCTTAGCTTGTCGGAAGAGCAGGACGAACCGGAAACGCAGTTTCAAAGAATTTCCATTCGTGATCCTTCGGACCCTACGGGAGGGAGAGAAGCTCAAGAGTTTTCGAACAGTTTGGAGAGCGAATTTGGAAAATCATCGCAGTTGTTAGCGGCACGGAAACCTCCCGCACATCCGAGCCCTGTAGGATATCATAGGACGGAAGTTCCAGGGAGTCGAGACGGAACGCCGGCAGTCCCGGCTCCGATGGGTGGCCGGACGACCGGAACCTCTGATGACATTCCAATTCAGCGGCTTCAGGGAAGCGAAGGATCGCGACTCGATTCCGTAATCTTGGAGAAAACCTCAGGTGACATTGACTCCGAACGTTCTTCGACCTACCCGCAAACTGAAATGACCCTGCTCGAAGCCGTCGTCACGGAGTCGATGACGTATCATCGTTTTCTGATAAATACCGAGTCCCCACCGAGTGGTGACTTTTCCTTGGAATGGCCGGACACGGTAAGTGCACAGCATGCCAAAAGGCTTTATTCGGGTTTGCATCCAGATAAGCTGGGGAGAGATCTTTTTCGGAAGGTACCCCCTGCCCATTTCTGTCACCCCAATCAGAGCCGCCGACATGATTTCAGTCTAATTATTATCGTGACCATTTGTGAAAATTCTGACTTCCGAAAGAATACCGAGCTGTGCGTTGACTCGACTCTCCCGCTCCGGGTCGATTTATCGTGACGCTCTCCCTCATCGGGTCCGGACTTAGACTCAGAATGAAAGATCGAATAGATTCACATGGTCTGGGAGAGCCATTCGTGGCAGTGATACACTCAGAACCGCTTCTAGAGTCACGACACGACACTCTATCCAAAAATTAGCGCGGTGGCATTGGCGTCCCGGGAGGAGCAGTGAGATTAGGCTCTCACAGCGAGATGCTCCTTGATGATGGCGGATCAAGGTCCTCAGGAGGGACGTTTCCGTAGAAATTCGTGGAGCTCAAATTGAATGTGTGCAGAGCCATGCCGCTGAATGCGAGCTCTACAGCCGATTAGCGAGGGCAGAACCCGGCTTACGGAATGTAAATCCTGCTTGCTTCTTCTAAGAACTCGTCGAATCGTATTTTGGGTCCGTTCAGGGACGTGTCTCGATGTAAAAAAATCCCTCTTCTTCCAGCAATCTGAGACGCCCTTCCTGGTCGGAAACGAGGCGGGGGCCAATCTACAAAAGGATGCGGAACGCGCGCACGGGGTGGCCGGTCAGGATTACTCCAGCTTCGAGAAAGTCGACCACATGCCCGCTCGAATTCTCGTCGATCATCCTGGGAGTTCCCAGCCTGGTCCGAGATACGAATCCGCGCCAAACGTGACGCATGCTCTCGTTGAGAATTTTGAAATCGATGCACTGGAACCAGAATACTCCTGGCCTCCCATGTCCAGTCCAGGACGTGCAGCCTCACAGGGCAGAAGCTCCCGTGAACGTTCTATGGGAGCCGGGAACGAGAGGTCCGATCCCGATGGGGCCTATCCTGCCGGCTCCGAGATCTCGTCGAATCGGGACGATGACGGTTCGCGATTCGTTATTGTTGGAAACGCGGATCCGCAGAACCGAGAGGAGGTGCAACTCGGTATTACTATCGATCCGTATTCGGAGGAATCGGCTTCGCCGAGAATGTCTTGGGCGGAGCCAACGAGAACACCGTTGATGTCTCCAACCGAATCGCGGTTCCTGCTGACGACCGACGCCATCCGTGGATCACGAGGAATGTACGCAGCGGATGTCTTGGGGAGCCCCTCGGTAAGCCCATCGGGGTCAGAGCCCCCGTCTACTTCCGAGCTGCTGGATCGAAGCGGCGGCGCTAGAGTTTTCCCTCAGCTCCATCCCGCCGGAAACGACCGCTCGACCGAGCAGACCGCTGTCGTTGATACGTCCGCCTACCGGGCGCTACCAAACGAGTTTAGTGGCAGCGAGTCGAGCTCCGCGATTAACCCCGGAGGAGCGCAAGCCGGAGATCCCCTCCTCCGGGATTCCATCGATGCCATTGCTGATCTCGAATCTACCGATCTCGGTGCGAGAGATTCTTTCGTCTTCGATTCTGGCATCGAGGGAGAAGGAGACGACCAAGGACTGCCGGGGTCCGCGGCCTCCGCCCTCATCTGGGCGCCGAGCGCATCTATTCGCACCGATTCGCGACCACCAGTCGACTCTAGTGAGGTGCTCGACAGCAGCGGTCCCCGATCAGTTTTCGTCTCAACTTCGTTGCCGAAGTCAATGTACCCAAGGAGACTCCATGCCAGCACAACCGAAGGCTTCGGGAACGAAGAAACGGTTTCCAGCGTACCCTTTCTCCTCGTGACTCGTGACCTGAGCGTCGAGGACCCGTTGATGACGCTCTCACCCGAAATTCTCGGCCACTCTGAGCCCCAAGAATCGTCTCGCGCCACCTCGGGGCACA